AGGCCAACACAGCTTCAGGCTTTGGGCTGGGGCTGCTGCAATGGACAGTTCCTAAAACCATCTCTGCTCTATCAGTGCTGCAAAATCCGCCAGGAGCTGTGGCTGCAGGAGGCTGGAGCTTTTCCAGTGCTTTCACCTCGAGGTCAGTGGTTCAAATTCAGCCTGGGGGTAGGGAGCACCATAAGTGGATGTTACTCCTGATAGATATGCAAGAAAGGAGGATTTAGGAGAAATTGGTCTGGGCCATTTTCAGGAACAGACATCCCTCTTGTTAGAGCTAATTAGGGGCCTCAATTCAGTTGGCAAGGGGGTTGGACAAACCTTGAGGCTGCTGAGGCCTTCTCCATGAAATGAGCAGATGCCAGTTTTTTACTGGGTGAAGGAGGCTTCCACACCTGTTTGGGTCCATCTCCTTCTGGTCCTTCCCATAGGACAGAATCCCCCAGCCCCCTGTTGCCTGTGGCAGTAGTAGGAATCAGAATCTCCTCTGCCACATCCCACTCCTGCTCTCGCCTTTCTCATTTTTTAGCACAGCTTTGCTTGAAACAGTGGCACAGCCTGCAAGCCAGGAATGGTGGTGGAGCAAGGCCTCCTTCCCAATTCATCACTAATGCAGGAACGTCAAGCCCTTTCTGGCTGCAGTGAGCACCAGATAAAAGCTAAAAGAGGCATCAATAATTAAGAACCACTCAGAGCTGGTAAGTGCAAACAGGAGCCAACATACAGATCGAAGCCAGTGCCAGAGATCAGAGTCTGTCAGCTGCTGGGTTGCTCTGAGGGCTCCCACTTCTCTTTTGCAGGCATCCCCCAGTCCACAGCCCCCAGGGTGACAAGGTGTCCCTGGCACCAGGGGAGGCACAAGGGACTGCAGGGAAGAGTGATGCACGGGAGGGGCCCTGCCTGGGCATGGTAGGAGGGAGCTGGGCTCCTGCCTGTCCCCAGGGGCTCTGGGGACATGTGGCTTTGGAGAGTGAATGCCAGTACTGGGGGCTCGGGGATGGGTACCTGCGGGCTGGTCCTGGGAGCATGGATCAGGGCACTGAAGAACCTTGATTTCTAGTACAGCTTAGGCTTAGCTCTCACCACCTTGATGCCAAGTCCTGTCCTCAGTTTCCCTTCTCATCTAATCTTCATTCTAGGACAGACTCCAGCCAGGATGAGGCCCCTCTTTGTGCCAGATACTGGTATACATGGCCTGGGAAATTCATGTTGTCTGAGGGTTCCATGAACTTGTCCCTGCTGAATTCAAGGCTCCTCATTCAAGTATGCAAGTGAGGAGCTGAAAACAGGATGGTTTGGAAATGATGAGTGGCTGCAGGGGAGCCCGGGCCACCTGAGAAACACAATGGGTTCTGCCCTTGACCATCCACTCTAGAGATGTGGTGGGAGCAGGAGGCTGCGCCTGGGGAGAGGAATGGCTCAACCCACAGCACAGAGCTGGGACAGAGCTGGGGCTGCCCTTCCTGTCAAGGACAGGAGGCTGTGTGTTCCCCTGCCCCAGGCTGGCGCTTGGGAAGGAAGCTGAAAGGTGAAATCATTAGGGTAATTCCAGCAGCAGCAACCTGCTTTGCTTGGATCCAGATTCAAATGGAGCTCCTGGATGTCCAAAGCCCAGGTTGGTTTGATTTCTCTGCTGGTTATAAACAGAAGGGCTGTTTACACCACTTGCCTCTTGATCCTGGCCTGGATTTCAAACGCCTTCGTCCTTTGGGGCTATTCCAGGCATTGCCGCTACCAGGCACGAGCGCGGCTGCTGCGGGAGGGGGCCGGGCCTCAGCTCAGCGTCCTCAGCAGTGGTGGGTCTGGGCCGTGTCTGCTGCCCTGCACCTTGTCCCTGTGCCAGGGGGAGCAGCGGGACCAGCTCCCCTTGCTGCTGCTCCTGGAGGCCTGGGGATGCCAAGGGTTAACTGCTGTTGATTTCTCCCCAGTCCAAGCACTGGGAGCTGAAGCGAATTAATTCTGGGTTACAGGCTGCGCTGCTCCAGGGCCCATGTCAATCAGTAATGGAGGGCGAGCAAGACGTGTGTGACATCCATCACTCCAGAGCTGCCTGTTCCAGGTTTACCTGTGTCACTCTCCGAGACAGAAGAACAGAGAAACTGCCTAGGGAAAACTGGCAATTTTTGGTGAGGAGTTTTGAAAAATGTGCAAAGCATCTTCTCAGTCTCTCCTTCCCTTGAAACACAATCTGAAGTGTTTCCAGCTTTTGAAAAACACTTTCCTTAAATAAAACCCCCACAACTCTCCCAATAAGGCAACAAACAAAAAAACCCTCTAAAACTTTACATTTGAATTAAAATATGTATATTCATATGTGCAGATATATGATGCACACACATAGACATATATGTGGGAGGGTTTTAGGGGGCTTTGGAGCTAGTGCCGGGCTGGTGTCCATCCCTGCCTGTGTCACCGGACCTACCCAGTGAACATCTGTGGCCAGGGAAGGTAAACGGGCGAGTGCTGGGGCTGACAGAGTCGGGGGCCAACCTGGCAGGGGAAACAGGGGATGACATGGAAGCAAGAGGAGGGAGAGCCTCCTGTGCCCACCACCTTGCCCCTGCCCCTGCCACCAGCATGCAGCAAGTAAATAACAAAATGAATAAAAGATTAAGATGAAATTCGAAGCATTAAATATTTAACCTTGTGCTTGCCTGTGCAGTGCCCAGGTACAGCTGGGTCCTGCAATATTTAAGGGTTCTTCACTCGCCTTTACCGCCCTCGAGTGCGAGGACTGCACAGCAGCTGCAGCTGGAGAGTCGCGCGGGACAGGGAAGGGACCCTCGACGAGTTCCCCTCCGGGAGCTCCCGGGACTCTGCGGGGCAGAGCGGAGCATCCTCCCCGCGCCCCCCGGGCCGGGGCAGCCCCAGGGCAGCCGAGCCCCGCGGCTGCGGCAGCTCCGGTCCCGCCCGAGCCGCGGCCCCACCGCCCCACGTTACTTTGAGTGGCAGCTGGCGGCAGCCGCAAGGCCTCGTGGGCCGCGCAGTCCACCCTCCCGGGCCGCCCGCGGCGGAAGCCCCGCCCGCCCGTGACGCCGGACCGGGCCCCGCGGCAGCGCCGGGCCGGGCCCCCCCCAGGCCCGCGGCGGCGGCGGGACGGACCGGGCGGGCCTCGTGCGCTGCCGCCGCGCAGGAGCCGCCGATGGCGGACTACAACTCCCAGCGTGCCCCACAGCTCGTCCCTCGGGGCTCCAGCTGCGCGCTCACGTTTTATTGGCCATCCTGGCATGTGCCGTCAGGAGCCCATGTGGGAACAGGGCAGGGCGATTGGCTGGCGCTCCCGCAGCGGCAGCCAATGGCAGGCGCGGCCGCCGGCGCCGCGGGCCGTGGGGCTGGTTAAGGTGGAGCGGGCGGAGGGGGTGGGACACGGTGGGGATGCTCCGGCCCGTCCTCCCCCGGTGGGGCCGCAGGACCGCCCCGAGCGGACGGCGGGCTGGGCCCGAGAGACCCCCGGCAGCCCCGCGCCCGGCGCTGAGCTGGTGGCGCTGCGCCCCGGCGCCCGCTGCCCCTGCAGTCCCCGGCCCGGCGGACGCTGTCGGGCTGTGCTCGTTTGTGATGTCCGTTCCCGCGCGCTGCCCCGCCGGCGGCCGGTGCCGTGTCCACCCGTAGCGTAGGGGGCGATGACAGTGACCGGCGTCGCTCCCGGGGAACCGGGATGCCCCGGGAAAGAGGGCGAGGGAAGTTCCGGGCCGGGACCGGGCGGGGAGCCACGCGCGTGGCGGGGCCCGAGGCGGGGAAGGGCCCGGTGAGGCGAGCGGGGCCCCGCGGGCCGGGGCGGCGGTGACGGCGGACGCCTCTCGAGTTGTTCCGCTCGGGCCCCGAGCAGCGCCTCCGGGGCTTGCTCCTTTCCCGGGTTCCCCTTGGTCTCGGGTATCGGTGTGCGGGCGCGAAGCCGGCGCGGCGAGAGCTCCAGTGCTGCTCCGCTACCTCCTGCTATCCCGAGCCCCGCGGGAACGCGCCTCCTTAAGGGGGCCCGGGCGGCCACCCCCGCGCCGCCGGGGGCGAGCGAGATCCCGCGACCGCCGCTCGCGCCCCGGCGGAGCCGTTCGGGGCCCCGCTGACCCCCGGACCCGCGCGAGCTCCGCGGCACGGTCGCCTTGCCGGTGCCCAGGAGAGGGACCCCCGTGGCGCGGCGGGGGGAGACCCCTGGCAGGGGCTGGGAGACGGGCGGGCAGCAGGGCCCGGGGAGTGAGAGGGCCGGGGCGGGGACCCGGGCGCTCAGGATGTTCCCGCATGGACGGCACCCGGTAAGTGCCGCGGGGGCGGCGGGACCGGGCCGGGCGGGGGCTGCGCGGCGGAGCCGCAACTTCCAGCCGGGCCGTCTCTCCCCAGCCCCTGCTGCAGCCCGAGCAGCCCTTTAAGTTCTCGGTCCTGGAAATCTGCGGCCGCATCAAGGAGGAATTTCAGTTCCTGCAGGCGCAGTACCACAGGTGGGGCGGGGGGCGCGGGGTGGCGGCGGCCGGGGGTCGGGCTGAGCTGCGGGCGGAGGATGTGACTGGACTGGGGGGTGGGGACAGGGGAGGCTGCGTCCTCGAGCAGGGGGCGAAGTGGGGAAGGAGGAGGTGGAGAAAGGGCGCTTGGTGATGGGAGCGCCTGGGGAGGAGGGGGAGAGGAGCCTAGGCTGAGTGGTAGCGTGAAACCGTCGGTTAGGGCGCCAGGTCTTGAGTGGGGGTCCCTCGGGGAAGATCAGTCGTAGTTCGTTTCCTCAGGCTGAGCAGAGTGTAGGGGGACGTGGAGGGGACGGCAAGTGCCGCGGGGACAGAGGACGAGGTGGGTGCCGCAGGTGTGGGAGCAGCACAGCAGTGGGCTGCAGGTGCCCCGGGGAGAGCAACACCACTTAGGGAAGGGCGTGTGACACCCCTGCAGCCCTGCGAGACTGCAGGGGGAGGCAGGAGTTGTGCCGAGCTTCCTGAGATCACAGGGATGGGGTCTGGAGGGATGGGGCAGGTGATGCTGGTCCGTGAATGGAAACCCTGGATCCCGTTTACAGCTTGAAGTTGGAATGTGAGAAGCTGATGAGTGAGAAGACAGAGATGCAGAGACATTATGTCATGGTGAGCTCCCCCTACCCTGTCCCTGCTGCCTTCCCTCAAAGCATCCTGGACTGCTGCCCTCAGAGAGGTCCCAGTGCTGGGACTCCACTCGGCCGCTCACCCAGAGGGGTCAATGCCCTGCTGGGGGTGTCCGGCCCGGTGCTGCCCTTGGGGCCAGGGCTGGGAGGTGTGAGGGAAGAAGGAATTAGTCACTATTCCTCACAACACCAGCTCTTCTGCTGCTATCTGCATATTCAGTGCTGCTAGAGCCCAGGAATCCTGTCATAGGTTTTGTTTCTTTTATTTTCTTTTTTCCTCCCTTTTTCTAATTGACCTTTTAAGAGAACTCCCCACTCCTCCCTGTCTCTCTCCCAAGGGGTGGGTGTTTCAGAACTCATATCCTAAGACTGGTGTTTTAGGTGAAAGGGGAAGGAGCAGGAGCCTCCACAGTTGCCAGCCAGAGCCTGGCAGGAACGGGGGAGCTGCTGGGATGAAGGAAAGAAAATGGGGACAGCAGAACAGGAGCAGCATTCCCTCTCCTTTAGCATCTGACACTCTTGGCCCCTCTAGGGAAAGGAGGAACCCAAATTACGCCGTCCAAGAGGCAAAAAGATGTGAACTCGGGGAACCCCCATCCCTGGGGTGAAGACAGCCCTGTCCTTGAGGCCAGGGGTGTCGACATCACAGGGCGTGTTCTTGTCATCCATCAGCTGGGATCCCTCCCCACATCCTGGAGGCTTAGGGATACCCAGAGGTGGACTACTTCCTTTGGAATAGGCTTTGCTGGAGGAATGCAGGTCCTCTGGTTCTTTTTTTTCTCCCCACGTGTGAGGGGATGGGGTCGGCTGCCGGCACCACTGGCAGAGTCATTGGTGACTGGTGAAGGGCGTAACCCACTGTCATCTTTGCTCTGCACAGGCATGACACCCACATGGGTGGGTGGGCAGCTGCATCAGGGTGTGAGTCTGACTTAGGAGTGGGACAGGCCAGGCCAAACCAGGATGGGATGTGGAGGGCAGAGGGATTGGCTTCCTCTGGCTTAAATTAGTGCAGAAATTGCAGAGCAATCATCACAGGTGTTAGCAGTCTGTGGCTGCTCCCTACCTTGTCCCAGGCTCGTGGCATGGGGTCTTGGCCTGTGGTGTGTGGGACAACCATTCCTCGTGGGCTGGAGGGAGCACCAAAAGGGGAGCTCGGCCAGGGGGAGCAGGACTGGCAGCCAAAGCCCTGGCTGATCATCGTCCAGTTGCTCTGGGCAGCTCCTAATCAGGCTGTGTTGTGGTTTTCCCTCAGTACTATGAGATGTCCTATGGCCTGAACATCGAAATGCACAAGCAGGTAAGTGAGTGGGGTCTGTGCCAGCAGCAGGAGATGGTGGAGAAGAGGCCAAGGTTGGAGACTTCGTTGGAAAATTCCCTTCCTCATCCCCGTGTAGCTGTAATGGCACGGGAGACATGACACGGCTCTCTGCAAGGGACTGGCTTCAAAGGAGTCCAGATGTTGTCGGGACATGTGCTGTTGAGTTCCTTGGGACAGGGACCTACCAATCCAAATCACCACTCAGAGCCTCTGTGTGAGCCCTGGTGCCTTCCTGCAGAGGGTCCCTGGGGCCTGAGTTGAGGGAGGGATGTGGAAGAAACAGCAGAAGCTGGAGCCCAAGGGCAAATTGATTGTCTTTCTTTTCTTTTTTTCCTAATCTCCTTTTCCCTAAGTCAGAGGAGTGTTTTTACCCTCCCTTGGTTCCCCTTTTGTTCCAGTGTTAATTTGTTTTCCCTCTTCAGATTTATCAATCTAGTCATCATGGGCTCTCTGCCAGGGAAATTAGTTTGGACCAATGCCTGACAAAGTGGCAAGTCAACTGCCATATTCCTCCAGCTGGCTCAGCCCCTCTCGAGTTTGCTCCTTTTGGTAGCAGGGAGTATGGTAGAGACCATGAGCATATTCCTGCCATCCCCACATGCTTCAAGATCTGGTGGGACTGGGACCCACGGATGGGACTGGGACCCGGGGTGGCCCATGCCACATGGGGCCAGTGGCTCTGCCCACAAGGCGATAGAAGTGAGGGCCAAGCGACTGAGAAGCAGGAGCCCTGACCCACCTGGGTCCAGCTCCTGGCTCTACCTGGGCAGGAGAGGTCTGGAGGGGAGGCGTCTTTGACTCCCAGGGTCCTGAGTGGGCATTGTGGCAGTGGCTGAGACAGCAGCTGGGACCTGCAGGTGAGCAGGGCGCTGATGGGTGCGGGGGTGCTCCCAGGGTGCAGCAGGTAAATGTTCCCTTTGTTGGCTCTGAGCGTGGTTTGAGCTCTGCAACACTGTCGGGGATTATCAGAAATCTGAGATGAAAAAATGCTTCAGAGCAGCCAATCCCTCCACCAGTGCCAGGGTAGATTTGCAGTGAGGGAATCGAGTTTTCCCCAGGAGACATGGGTTTTCTCTTGGAGAGGCTGGGCTGGAAGCCACAACCCCTTTGCTCAGAAGTGCTGCTTACCCTGGTGGGGCCGTGGCTGGGCTGTGGGTCTGTCTGTTACCACAGGCTCTCCTCAGAGGATACACCAGGTTCTCTGCATTCCCTTGTTGCTGCTGCTGGGCAGGGGCAGGTCCGAGGTGTTCTGTGCCTCTGCTCCCCCTTTGGAAGGAGCAGGGAGAGCTGCCGGCTGGCCCAGGACTTGATGGGGATGGCAGCGGGGTCCCTGCTCTGGGCAGGGCAGGTACCACCATCAGTTCCTTGCAGGGTTTGCAGGCACGATGCCAAGAGGGCTGAATCTGTGGGTTCTGTGTCCCTTGCTCTGCCCTGGCTTTAAGTCCGACACTCGGGGGCAGCGCAGTGTGTGAGTGGCCCACTGCCAGCGTCTGCGGCTCAGCTCTGCCCCGTCCCTGCCTCTGCCAGTGGCAGCCCCAAAGCCAACCTGGGTTTGGGCTGAGCAAAGCCAGCTGGGCTGTGACAGGAGTGACAGCTTGGAGCTTGCCTTGGCCTGGGTCCACAGAGGGATTTGGGCATCGGGATCCCTCCCACGTGCCTCTGGGACCTGGCAGCCTGGAGGGGTCCAGCAGCTTTGGGCAGAGTCTTCTCTTGGCAGCAGGAAGACCCAGAAGGGATGTAGAGGCAGCAGGAGAATTTCCACTGAGAGGGTTTGGGTGGGGAGAGTTTAACTTTGCCTGCATGTCTGCAGGATGCTTGGCTGCCCTCCCCTCTGCTGGAGGGGACGGGATAGGGCTCAGAGCCCTCCATCCCAGGCGATACCTGCTTCCTCTTTCAGGCAGAGATTGTCAAGAGACTGAGTGCCATCTGTGCCCAGATTATCCCCTTTCTGACACAGGAGGTGAGGAGGCAGGGGATGTGCATTGGACTGCTCTGGCTTGTCTTGAGGGAAGCCCTTGGGAAGGGGGGAGTCAAAGTCCAGCCTGAAAAACAGGAGGTTTTGGGGAGGAAAATCTCCATACCTGGGCTGGAGGGATGGGAGTAGGGACTGTGCAGTCCCAGGTGGCTGGGGCAACACCGGGCTGCTGCTCCCTTGGGCCGGGAGCACAGTGTGACTGCCTCCATGCTCTTCCTTCCCAGCACCAGCAGCAGGTCCTGCAGGCGGTGGAGCGGGCCAAGCAGGTGACCATGGGAGAGCTCAACAGCGTCGTTGGAGTGAGTCACACTGCCCAGTTGTGGGCCAAGGCTCTTCCCTGCCCCAGGGGTTTGGACCCTGCAGCACAGTGATGGGAAAAGTCAGGGGTTTTGCCACTTTAGTAAGTCCATTGCAGCGAGGGGGTTTGCCACTGTGTCCTTAAAGCAGTGGATGGCCTCTGGGATCCCCTTGGCCCCTGCTGCCCGGGGCAGAGCGGGGCAGAGCCATGGCTTGGGCTCTGCCATGTGTTGGGATCACATTTGTGGCAGGGAGGCACTCGAGGTTCCATGGGTGGAAGAAGCAGTGATGGCACCCAGACTGTGCAGCCTCAACAGCTCTGCTCACCTCCTTGTCTTTGCTGGCGTCTCATCCTGTTGCGCTTTGCATCGCAGTCAGTGCGGGAGGGGAGGGTGCCGGGCATGACTGTGGCTGGCTCTGCCACACCCAGGACCGTCTGTTCTTTCTCTCTCAGCAGCAGCAGCTTCAGCACCTCTCCCACCACGCATCCCCGCTCCTGCTGACACCCCACTCCTCCAGCATGCAACCTTCTAGCTTGAGCGGGGCCAGTGGCACCTTGGGGCTCCTGGCCGTCTCGGGGGCACTGTTGGCACAGTCTCAGCTGGCCACCAAGGAAGACAGAGTGGCCCAGGATGGGGAGAACAAAGGTAAGGGGAAGAAGCATAGCTGGATTAACCTTTCAAAGGCTGGTTGAGTCAGTGCTGGGCAGCCTGCTGCAGGGATCCTGCTGCCTGCTCTACCTCTTTTCTCAGTGCTCCTCAGTGCCTGGCTGCTGCAGCTCAAGGGATGGCAGATCCAGCTCATGAAATACGTGCAGACCCAGGAGTTTGGCTCCATTTTTGACCTTGGAACTGCTGCCATGCAGTGACGGTGTGTGGCAGTGGTGAGGGTGGCTGTGTTTGCACCCCTGACACTGGGCAGCAGGGCTCTGGACACATCTCCCTGCTCCCCTGGGTGTTTCCAGTGTATGAGGGTCCCCCCCTCCGTGAGGCAACTGGGAGGGTGTGAGGTCCCCGTCGCAAAGAAACCTTCTCTAATTACACCAGGTAAAGATTTGATGCCCAAAGCTGAGATTTCAAGGGAAACTACTGTTGTAAGCCCCTGGTAGAAACTATGGGAGCCACAAATCTGGGGCAAGGAATTTAGAAACCAGAGCCTAACTGCATGTGTGGTGCCATGTAAATTGCATTAATTCCTAGTCCTTATGGGTGCCTCCTCCTGTCAGGATCACAATGTGCCTTACAAACATCATCAATATTTAATCATCATAAAATCAGTGCTCTGAATGCTATTGCAGGACTGGGCCAAATTAGTAATGCTGCCCAGCTTTGCTTGTGGCCTATTGCTGCTGAAGTGCTGCACAAAGGAGAAGCTGCTCTGAGCTCAAGTCACCTTTTGCAGAGTGCAGGAATTGGGTAGTTGTGCTGAGAGGGAGACTGGGGCAAGAACAGAGGCTCCAGGCATCTCTATGGGCTAGAAACAGGCAGCCAAATTTAGCAGCTGTAGTGATGCTTCTCTGCAGATTTCCTTGGGAAAGGTGCTGACTGAAATGCACTTGGGACAGGACCCAACAGCAGCAGCAAAGCTGGGCACTGGGTGGGGTTTGCTGCAGTTTCTAATGGTCTGGTTTGGCTTGTTAAGATGTCAAGGTGGTGAAAACAGCAGCAGGAAACTGCCGCTGGCTGCTGTGTGCCCCTGCACACAGCTGTTTGCAGTCAGAATTCTGTTCGTGTTTCTTTAAGGATGACTTCCCAAAGGAGAAAAACTCCAGAGAGGATAAAAGCAGGCTGTGCTGTGCTGAGCCTGCTTAACCCTCCAAGCCTGGATAGCCCCATGCCTCCAACCAGAACTTCTCTCAGCCTGGGTGTCTGGCCTTAGTGAGAGCCATTCCTTAAAACAAAAAAAGGTGAAATGCTCCATTTGGCTGGGGTTAATCCCTGGTGCTCTGCCATAGTTAGCCAGAGCTTGTGTGAGTTGAGCTGAGCCAGAGGTGTGGGGCTGATGGCAGGCATCCAGTCCCCCTCCTGGACCATGGCCTTGGAGCAATGCCTACAAGAGTCCCTCAGCTCCCCATCCCTACCTGACTCTTTTTGCCAGCAGAGACCTGAACGAGTTTGTTCTTTCCAAATGCTGGTGGATTTCTAGGAGTGAAAATCAACCAGGGAGGGTTGCTAGACCGCAGCTGCAACCCTGTACTTGGATTTGCAGCAAATGCCTGGCACGTTCTCCCTGGGCTCGGGGAGGTGGACCTGTTTTGCTATGCATGTACAAAAGCTTCGGAGGCTTTCCAAGCAAGGTTTTTAAGCATGGCTTCCTAAGGAAATAGGATGGGTGTGATTCAGGAGGTCTCAGCTGGCTGGTCGGCTTGTCCCCTCCTGGCAGCTTTGGACCTGTTGCCACATCTAGGGAAGAGATTCCAAAGCTGGGGTAATTCTTGAAAGTAGGTGGGTGGATAGAGATTTCCCTGCTTCCCTGAGGAAAACCAATGTGCTCATCTCCCATTAGACAACAACATTCTGGACAACAGAGAATCCACACTTCAGGTGGGCAAAGTGGGAAATTGGTAATGATTTGTAAGGGAAAAGGTGGGAAAAGGTATGATTTGTAAGCCCATGTCCTGCTGTTTCCTGTGTTACCCTGCAGTGCCCCCCTCTCCTCCCTGCCCGAGTATATGGGGCACAGCCTTGGCATTAACAGCCTCTTCCTCTCCTCCCCTCTGCCTTGCTGACATGGATCTGCTCGGATATTCTCCCTGCTGCTGCTTGCCTCCAGAACGTGCCCCAAGCCGGGTAAGTCGTGACGGACTGGTAGCCTCAGCTGGCCTCAATGGTATCTCCAGTGTGGGCCAGGCAGGAGCCAAGCTGGCCCCTGGCTCCTGGGAATGGCTGGGGGTGCTGGGCAAACTTTGCTGGCCTGAGTGGGTTGTGTTTGTATCAGTATTTTGTAGCTGAAGGTTCTGGGCCACCTCAATTCAGTCTTTGCTGATGCAAGAATCTAAAGATCAAGGGCTACTCCCAAAATAACCAGCTCTGTCCTTTTCAAGGAGTTTCCAGTTTAAGAATCACTCTGAACAGGTCTCCCTTCTACGCCCGGTGCTGCCAGCCCCTCTGCAGTCCTCGGCTGCCCCCTCCCTTTTATGATCTCCCCAGTCCCAGATCTGTGACTCCATTCCCAGGCTCCACAGTAGCTTACAGCTCTGCAATATCCAGAGTTCCAGTGGGGATTTTCCACTCCACCATGACATTACGCTCCCCATGCCTTCATGTCTCTGCAGGGGCAGATCTGCCCTCCAGTCGTGCCCTCCCCACAGCCCTTGGTGCTGGTGGCTGGGCCAGGGCGCAGCTGCACATCCTCCTCCTGCTCCATTGCTGTCACAGTGGGGTCATCTGCCAGCGGGGGCTGTGGCCCCCTGCTTTGCTGTCTCTGCCCTGCTTTGGCCAGGAAGGGGAGGCCGTGGCTTTGGGGTTTTGGGCTCCTGCCCACCAGCCAGGGACATGCTTTGCCAGGGTGGAGGCAGTGATGGAGCAGGGCCTGGCCCGACTGAGAGGTGAGGGGTGTCTGTCTTCCCTCACACTGGCTGACATGCCTTCCTCTCCCCCCTCTGTGTCAGAGCATTTCTTGTTCCCCCCCTGAGCGCCTGCAGGATGAGGAGCGGATGGGCCGGAAGCGGAAGCGGGAGGAGAAGAACCTGCCTGGGCATTCTGTGAGTGCACTAAAGAGTGTGGTTGTGGGAGCTGGTCCTGGGAAGTGGCTGGGGAGCCTTGTGCCTACCCTGGTGCAGGGAGGTGGTGTCCTGTGAGCAATAACAAAGCAAATGAAGAGCCCCGGGGAGGCCACTCAGCCAGAGGTCTGGGTCGCTGCCAGCAGGGCATGGTGTTGGTCCATGAGGAGTGATGAGCAGGAGAAAATGAGTCTTTACGCTGTCCGGGATCCTGGGGCAGAGCCTGGTCCAATCTCTCCCAGTCCTGACTGAGCCCTCCTTGCAGGATAATGATGGGGACAAGAGCAACTACAACCTCGTGGTGGATGAGGTAGGCCCTTATACTTGGAACCTTGCAGGGTATCCAGCTCAAGCTGTAGTCATCAAGTTTAGGACTCTGGTTCCTAAGCTTTGGAGTTCCTTAGGCTCCAGGTCATTGCTGTGGGGAACAGCATCCAGCCAGGACATGTGCCAGCCCTGCTCTGATGTGTTCATGTCAGCCAAGACTGATTCCACTCCCACTGCTCTGAGTAGAAAGCTGTGCCAGCCAGGGCTGAGCTTTGCCAGCCACAAGTTTGGCTCTGATTCACAATTCCCTTTCAGTCCCTCTCCTGTAGCATCCCATATGGGGAGACTGATAAGCTGGGATGAGAGCTCCAGGGAGTTGGGTTTGCTGCTGGCAGCTCCAGTGAGTAGAGGTGGCAGGAGCAGGCAGCCTCGCAACACACCCTGGCCCTGCCAGCCCCGGGCTTTGCAGTGCACCTCATGCCCTGCCTGGCCTTCCAGCAGCCTCAACTTTAACACACCAAGCCTGTGTCAGTGTCTCAGTGCAGGGAGCACACTGAATTCCAGTCCTTTGCAATGGAACTGCCATGTACTTCTGGTACAACCTTCCCTGGCTGCTGAGGCAGGCATGAAATTTATCCCAGCCACAACTATTCTTGGCAGAGATGATGTTTTCAGGGACATACCTGCTCGTTTTCTGGAAGACAAGGGGAAGGGACAACATGTGTGAGGTATTTTTTCCTCCTGCCACTTCCTAAGAAAATACAAGCCCTAAAAGGAGTATCAGCAGGAATTTCTGCAGAAAACAACACTTACAAAAACTACTCAGTGGAATTATGGTGATAAAAATCACAGACCTGGATAAATAGTTATAGGAGTGCAAGAGCTGATGGGCAGCCTTGCCTCTGAGGTGGCAGCTCTGCGTCAGTTCCTCATGTGCTGGTCGCCATCCCTCCTTGTAAAGGCATCTGTGGCCACCAGTGTCTTCTGAACCTGCTGTCACCTCTAATTTTGTTCAAAGAGAAAAATCAAGGCAGTTTCTTTTCCAGGGGACCGTGGAGCAGAACAGAGGCCCATGAGTGGATGCTCCTCATTCAGGCTGCTTAGGCAGATGGGACAGCGAGGGGTGGGGGGAGCAAACTGGGGCTTGGTGGTCCCTGCAGGCTCCAGGCCTGGCTGGCTCCCCCGAGTCTCTGTCGTGCCTGCCTTCCTGCACAGAGGGACTGGGTTTCCTGCTTCCCACAGACGTTTTCTGCCCCCAGGACCCCACCTCGGAGCCCAGCAGCCCTGGCTGCTCACCCGGCAGCCGGCTGGCACCAGTTCGTGGGGAGATGCCGAGCCCGGCCTGCGCCTCCTCCAGTGGGAGCACAACACCCCTCGGGCCAAAGGGCCAGTGTCCGGTAGGGAGGCGTGTGGGCAGCCAAGGCTGGGGGTGGAAAGTGGGGCCAGGGATGTTTGTGAGCAGTCTGCTGCAGCCCAAGGTAGGCACAGAGATGCCAGTGCTGAAGGTTTGAACCCATGGCTGGGCCCCCAGCCCTGGGAGCAGAGGTCCATGCCCCCAGAGGGGTGTAAGTGTTGCTGTGCAGAGGGTGGGCTCTGCAGTATTCTCACCCTGGCTGCCCTCAGGATTCCCCAGAGCTTCTCATAGCAATTGATTTTTTTTTTTTTAATTTTTTTTCCCGTCCTCCTTGCCAAGCACCAGTCCTGTGCTCAGATTGACACATCAGAATGTGGGAAGGGGGAGGGATGTTTCTGCTACTCCTTGGCCTCCCAGCCACTGCAGGGACTAAGCGATGGCTTCCCCCCATCCTGGGTCAGGAGCCAGCTGGGGGCTATGGGAAGCAGTGAGCAGCAGCTCCCTGGCACAATCGGATTAGAGCAGACAAAGCGCCCTGAGCAATCTGCCAGCACAGCACGTAGCTTTTCTCTGTTATTAATTTTTTTTTTCCTTGCTGGTGTCGACAAAATCCCCAGACAGAAAAAGCGGAAGAAGTAGGAGAGGCAAGAAAAAAGCAAGGAATGAAATAGCCATGGGGCTCAGATAGGCCAATTCATCCCAGACGTCCTCCTGGTCCAGGCTGTGGATGGGGGTGCCCTCCGTGCAGGAGGAGTTTCGCATGAGGGAGCAGCAGATCTGTCCTGGCCCTGTGGATCCTTGTGCAGGTGGTGGGCACTGCAGGGTCACAGGGTTGTGGTAGTTTGGGGTGACCCAGAGCTTGCACCCATTGGGGGAGTGGGAATATGGAGCTGCTTCACACCATGGCGACGTGTAAAGGACAAAGGAGGAAAATAGACGGTTTCAGGCCCTGGATGGCCTAGTTCCTGTACAGTTCCATCCAGGAGTTGTGCCTCCCGGGCTCCTTCCCCTCCACAGGGTTTGGAGGTTGACCCACCTGTGGTGCTGGGGAAGGTTCTCCTGGGTGAGCCTGGGACTGGGAGCACAGAGCAGGGTCAAGGGGGAGATGCTGGCTCCTGGGGAGTGGGCACTCCTGACAGCCATGCTCTTGCTTTCTCCATCCCCCTCTTTCCCAGGCAGTTTCAAGGCCACACGGATGGTGCCAGCTGCATCGACATCTCCAATGATGGCACCAAGCTCTGGACAGGGGGGCTGGACAACACTGTGTGCTGCTGGGACCTGCGGGAGGGGCGGCAGCTGCAGCAGCACGACTTCAGCTCCCAGGTGGGGCTGGGCTCATCTGGGAGCACCACAGGGCCAGGTGCGACCTGCTGTGTCAATGTCTGACCCTGTCTCTCCCCTCAGATCTTCTCCCTGGGGTACTGCCCAACAGGAGAGTGGCTGGCGGTGGGGATGGAGAGCAGCAACGTGGAGATCCTGCACGTCACCAAACCTGACAAGTACCAGTTACACCTCCACGAGAGCTGTGTCCTCTCCCTCAGATTTGCCTCCTGTGGTAGGCAAGGTCCATTTTTTCTGCTTGGGCTGTGTACAGCCCAGATGGTTCCTTTTGGTTTACTCCACCATACTCAGCTCCCCTGAATGGAGTCCCAGACATTGACCCACTTTGTCTCCTGCGCCAGGGAAGTGGTTTGTGACCACAGGGAAGGACAACCTTGTCAATGCCTGGCGGGCACCCTACGGAGCCAGCATCTTCCAGGTGCGGGGGAGGCATTTGTACAGGGGGATGACGGTGGATCCAGCCACCAGCCCTGCCCTCACCTCCTGTCTCTCTCACTCTCAGTCTAAGGAGTCTGCCTCAGTCCTGAGCTGTGACATCTCCGTCAACGACAAATTCATCGTTAGGGGATCTGGTGACAAAAAGGCCACCGTGTACAAGGTGGTCTGTTGAAGCCCCATCACTATCCCTCCTCCATCAAGGAAGGGGCCTCTCCTTGTCCAAAGCCACCAGGGCTCACAGAGGCCTCCAGCCCTGCTTTCCACAGCCCTGCTTTCCCTCCTCCTCCTTTGCTTTCAGACGCCAAACCAAGGCCCTGGCCTAACTCCCTGCCCCAGTTAATGCATGATGATTGGAGGTGAGGGCTCAGGGGGGCCTGGCATCCCCCAAGGCAGGGCAGGGGCTGGGCTGTGTGTCCTGCGACCTGTCTGTACCTCAGGCTGGCTGCATGGGGAGCTGATCAAGGCCAGTACCACCTGAATATGTCTTGAATTACTGCTACTGATTTAATGGGAACCATTTTCTGCTGGAGAAACAGCTGTAAATTATCAGTAAATAAATGTATTTAACTGTGTTTTCAATCCTTTACTAATAAAAAGGAACAAAAGAGGGGCTGGTATGGGCACGGGCAGGGGCCTTTGCCAGCCAGTGCTCCCAACCCTGCCGAGAGGGCTGGGCTGTGAAATGTAGCCTCCGGGTCCTGCTTTTGGCCAGCAGCATGGGCAAGGCCATTCCCACTGTGGCAGAGCTGTGGCTGCCCACCTGCCACCAGCCCCAGCTCCAGCACAGCTGCAGCAGCAGCCTTGGCTCTGTGCTGGGTGTGGTGAGCTATGGCTCAAGGCTGGGCTCAGGGCAGGAGACCAAAGCAGCTGCCACATCGCAGCTGGCGGCACAGAGCTTCCCTGCCAGCCCTGGCCATGGCCACTGCCAGTGCCCAAGGCTCTCGGGAACAGCCCTGCTTCCCCACGGCAGTGCTGGCAGGAGGCCAGACTGATAAGGCAGCACTGATTGCTCACATCTCATTTCCTTCAGAAACCACTTCCTCCACCACTGGCATCTCCCCCACACCCCACGGAGGCTGCTCCAACAACCAGAGCCACCGACACACTCAGGTCTGTGCCTGCACCGCCAGCTGCACTTGGGTCTCCCCACCCCACTCAGGACCAGGGCTGGGCTCTGCCAACAGCAGAGCTGCCACGGACCTGCCCTGGCACAGGAAAGGAGCAGCAAATTGTGGTTGCCAAAGGGGATGAGGCTGCTGCCCTGGTCTCACCCATCCTCACCTAGCTCCATCCCACCACCATGCAGCACTGCCCAGGTCAAGGCACAGCTTTTTTTTGTTTGTTTTTATTATTAAATATACCCTGGCAGGCACAGAGGGAAATGAGGCCAGCGCCCATCCGCCTCAGCAGACCCAGACCCCAACAAAATACCCCCCCCAACAAACTGTTAAAACCAAACAAAATTAAAAACCCACCCCAACAAAAGCCCTAACAATGCCAGATGGCCCCCCCTCCTCCAAGTCCCATAGTCTAGATTTAGAAAGAAGCTGACAAAGAACAAAGCAAGGAGAAAGTCCCCAGAAAATCCACCCCGAGCAGCCCACGATGCCTGGCCACAGTCCCAGGGCCACCTTCACCCCTCTCCGCTCTCCTCCAGCTGCGATGCTGTGGCCACAGGCTGCATGTTCTTTGGGAAGTCAGCAGTAGGGCAGGTGGAGTCCACCTATCCATCCACATGGATGTCCACCTGTCCCGCAGTTGGCACCTCTTGTGCTCAGTAAATGATCTCATAAACTGTAGCTTTCTTGTCCCCCGAGCCAGTCACAATGAACTGGTCATCCGTGGAGACGTCACAGCTGAGGACAGAGGAGGTTTCCTTCGACTGGAGAGAACAGGGGTAAGCACAAGAAGCAGGCCCAGAGCAAGTCCCCAGTCCTTGGGACTCTGACCCTGAGTTGCACCCGGGGAGGCTGCAGGGACGAGTTTGTTTACAGGGCTCGTTATTGCTAACGCATATTTACAGCCAGGTTGTACTGGGCAGCTCTTGGCAGTCACACCCAGAGGAACCCCCAACCCCATTGGCCATGCACGCCCCACACCTGGAAGATGCTGGCTCCGTAGGGCGTCCGCCAGGCGTTCAGTAGGTTGTCCTTCCCCGTGCTCACGAACCACTTCCCTGTGGAGGGACAAAGGAGCCTCGTGTCACCAAACCAGGCCCACAACTGGATTCCAGCAGCACATCCTGCCCAGGCTGTGGAACACAGGGTGTGGACATGGCAGCCAAGTCTCTGCTACCCAAGAGCCAAGGGGCTGTTTTCAGGAACACAAATGGGAGTCCTGAGATAACAGAGCTGAGCGTACAGCTGCCAGCACTGCTCCAGGAAGGACAGATGCCCATTCTCTGACGGATATGACTGTCATCCACTGGGGACAAGGCTGAGTACGGGAACCAATCCTTGCCCCCAGTGCAATGAGCCCTGTGACACGAGGCCAGAAGTAGAGGTGGCATCCATGAGGCTCCAGAGAAGGAAGGTCAGGAGAGGCATGCCTACCACAGGAGGCGAATTTGAGGGAGAGAACACAGCTCTCGTGGAGGTGTAACTGGTACTTGTCAGGTTTGGTGACGTGCAGGATCTCCACGTTGCTGCTCTCCATCCCCACCGCCAGCCACTCTCCTGTTGGGCAGTACCCCAGGGAGAAGATCTGAGGGGAGAGACAGGGTCAGACATTGACACAGCAGGTCGCACCTGGCCCTGTGGTGCTCCCAGATGAGCCCAGCCCCACCTGGGAGCTGAAGTCGTGCTGCTGCAGCTGCCGCCCCTCCCGCAGGTCCCAGCAGCGCACAGTGTTGTCCAGCCCCCCTGTCCACAGCTTGGTGCCATCATTGGAGATGTCGATGCAGCTGGCACCATCCGTGTGGCCTTGAAACTGCCTGGGAAAGAGGGGGATGGAGAAAGCAAGAGCATGGCTGTCAGGCTGGCCAGCGCCTGCAGCACAGAATGTGGCCAGGGCAGCACTCAGCAGTGAGAGCAGAAGATCCCTGCTGCAAGGACAGGCACTGTCCCATGGCCAGGGTTCGACACAGGGAGAGGTGGGGACATGCTGCAGGGGACCAGGTGGTCCCTGGCCTGAGGAGCCCCCAGCAGCTCTGCCCATGCTCCTCCCTGACTGACTCACCTGACCAGGGTCTGGTTCTGCAGGTCCCACACCACAATGTTGCCATCGCTGCAGCAAGAGAAGCAGACTTTGGCATCAGGGCTGATGGCCAGAGCGTAGCAGGCGGGGGCAGAGGAGGTGAGCTCAGCCTTGATGCGGGGTGTGGGGGCCGCCAAGTCCCAGATGGAGAGGGTGCTGGCCTCCCCCCCCACAATCAGGCTCCGGCCGTCCGGGAGCAGTTTGCAGGAGCGGATGTAGTTGTCACGGTTCTGAATTGGGGTTACAGGGAACGGGACAAGTGAAGAAGGAGCTGATGAGTGCTTGGGGGGTGTAGGAGACAGATCTCCTTTTCTCATCCCAGATGTGAAAGGACCCTCTGTCCCTTCCACTGCAACAGGGGCATATTCCCCTTCCCAGCCCCCTACCAAAGACCTTTCTCCTCCTCCTCCTTACTAGGCAGTCCAGCTGAGCCACGGCTGTCTTGGTGCCCGGCTGCCCCACGTCCCACACCTTCACACAGCCCTTGCCCCCCGTGTAGACGTGTCGTGTGGAGTTGCTGATGGTGACGGCGCAGACCACCTCGCCGTGGGTCAGGGTGTGGAGCTGCCGTGCGTGGCGGGGGATGCCGGAGCCGATGAGTGCGTCAGGTGGAAAAGGCACCGGCTGCATCTGCCCATCGGCACTGACGTGGAAGGAGTAGGCACTGGAACAGAGCAGAGCAGTGAGAGCCAGAGGAGAATCCTGCAAGGTCAGTGGCCGGTGCCACGTGGGTCCCAGCGGGTCTGACAAAGGGAGCACGTTTTGGGAGTTGGAGCCATGAGCAGAGCATGCCCAGTGATGCCAGTTGTGCTCCCCACCCCTGCTGGTCCTGGCTTGTCTGCATCACCCAGGTTCAGCCCCACAGGTTACCTCATCCCCTGCCCCAGCACAGCCCGCAGCGCCCGCAGCCCAGCCCGGCCCTACTTACGGCTTCCCCGAGGTCCCCACTTGTATGCCGGCCACCAGCCCAGGGATGCGCATGTGGGGGTGTGGGTCGTAGCCCACCTGGAGGGGACAGCAGGTGAGAGTAGCTCACACTCCGTGGCCCCCACGGCCCCGCGGGGAGCAGGTCACGCACCAGGGGGGAGCGTCCGTAGCTGCTGGCTCCCATGGCGGCTGCAGCCCCGTTGAGCTGCGGGGACATGAGGTGGAGGCTGGCATAGGCGCCAGTCCCGGCCACGTCCCCATTGACTGCAGGGTGGGCCAAGCCAAAGGCAGCCGAGTAGGGACTCTGCACTCCCAGTGGATTCCTCAGGCCCAGGGCTGATGGGGGAGAGGCAGTGTGAAGGAACAGGGCTTGGGAGCCAGTGCTTGGAGACACCCGCCCGGGCCCCAGTGGGGCCAAGCTCACCCAGAGGGTCTATGGGGGCCTTGGCAGCAGCAGGGCGAAACTGCTGGGCCCCACCGGAGACTGGGGCCGTGGTGTCACCCTGGGAAGTGGGGGTGCTGGACTTCAGGTTGGGCGTCCCTGCCTTCTCCACCTGCCGGGAACAGCACAGGGATCTGACAGCTGCACCACTACCCTGCCAGGGGGTCTCCTCCGGTGCTCTCCAGCAAGTTGGTCCCTGTTCCTCCCCCTCAATGACAGCCCAGCCCAGCCAGCACTGCAGGCTCTGTGGGACAGGACGTGAGCTGGGATCTAACAGAGCAGAAGCCCCGTCCTGTCCCTCCAGCACTGCCTTTGCTCCATGGGTTTGGAGACAGGTAGACCCATGTCTGGCCACTCTGTCAGCTGAACCTGGGCAGCAGGGACACAAGCATAGGCCCTGAGTGAAGTGCCCCAGCTGCCCCAGGCAGTGCACGTACTGTGGGTGCATCCTTGCTCCGAGATGGGGAGCTGCTGGAGGAGGCCATGGAGGTTGGGCTGAGTGGCATGGTCTCCTTCCTCCCCAGTGGGACCTTCTCCACCCCGTTTTCCCGGGACGAGTAGGAGTGGACGCTGTGCGGCGAAGAGGGGTCCTGGGGGTGGGAGAGGAAAATCAGCAGGCAGCAGAACAGGCAGGAGTGCAGGGATGTCCCAGGTCATGGTGAGCTGGTGGTTTGAGCAAGGGCCAGGCTGGGAGCCTGAATCTTGGGGCTCATTGCTGCTGTTGGCGAGGGCCAGGGAGCATGACTCAGGGGTACCACTGGCACCTCCCTGTGATGCCCACCTCTGCCTCTAGCAGCCTGTTAGCCCCCAACTTGGGGACAGACAGCACACACTGACCCCGGCCCCCTCCCAGCTGATGCACTGACCTCATCCACCACCAAGTTGTCCTCACTTTTGTCTGCATCGCTGCCCTGAAACACAGAGGACGCTTGAAGACAAAGGGGCTGCAGCCACCCTTGCTCCTGCCTGGGGATGCACCGGAGGCACAGGCAGCTCCATTCTTTGCCCCGCAAGAAGGGATGGGGCCACCCTGCCCCCCACAGCCCCAGGCTCACGTAGTCTGTAACAAAGTCCTTCTCCTCCACCTTCCTCTTCTTGCTGCTGCTCAGGTACTCAGCGATGGCTCGCGCCCGCTCCCCATTTGGCAGTGCCAGGGAGCTCTGGGGCGGGGGGATGCAGTGTTAGCGGCCAGGGATGCTGTGCCCGGCTCCTGGGACAGGCAGCACCAACGTGGGGCTGCGGCTGACTCCTGGAGCACGGAGGGCCCCAGCGCAGCCCCCATGCCCTGACTGGAGCCTGTGCCGCCACAGAATGATGCAAGAGAAGGAAAAAGCACTTACGGGGCCGGAGTCTCGGTCTGTCGCTGTGGCAATGCAGAGGCGCAGCAGGAGGAGGAGGGAAGGGGGGACATGCTGTGCCACCACCAAGAGCCCCCCAGGAAAGTCACCCGCTTCTCCCATGGGTGCTGGGGTGCTCACAGCAGGGCTGGGCCAGCATGACAGCAGCAGGGTGGTCCTGGGCCCCCACCAGGGATGACCTCCCACCAGCCCACCTCACCACCCTTCCAGGAGGTGCCGCTCAGTGGGGGATGTTCCCCATGCAAACCCCTCATGGCTGCCAAGCCCCCTGCCCCTCCCACCCAGTCAGCACACCTGAGCCATGGACAAGCGGCCCCCCATCCATCCCTGGCCCCCACCCTGGGGAAGTGCCTAAGTAGGAAGACCCTGGGGAGCAGAAGCAGCTCCAGGGCCCTGCATCACCTGTTCCCAGGTTCACTCAGATCCGACCGCACCCAGCCCTGGTTCCCCCCACACTTACCCCTGGGCTCCGTGTCAGGGACTCCTCGGTCATCCTTGGTGAGGAGCTGGGCCTGGGCCCCCAGTGCCCCTGAGAGCGCCAGCAGCCCTGAGGCACTGCTGATGCCAGCAAGGCCAGTGGGCTGCAACCCAGAGGGGTGGGGGGTCAGCGGGATGGGGGGAGTGTGGTGCGAAAGGTGCTGCGTCTGGAGCTGGTGCTGGAGAGGAGCAAGATGAGAGAGAAATCGAAGGGCTGTGCCAGGACAGCTGCTCGGCACAGGGGGGAAGAGGCAGCCCTGGGTCAGTCAGCAACAGGACTTGGGTGAGGAGGGGCAGGGCATGAACCCAGGATGTCCCCAGCCACAGTGTGGGGGCCACCATCTCCCTCCCACTGACTCCCCCCACCCTGTGACAGGATCTACTGGGACAGATGGGGGACCCTGCCAGTACCCAAAGCACTGTACTGCTGCATTCTCACAGGAATAACCAAGGAGTGGGGATGGCGGCAATCCCCCTTTCACCTGGGCCACAGGGCATCAGGACACAGGGACATGTACCAGCCACCACCTCCACACCCAGCTGCATCTCCTCCATCCTGAGTACTGCTGACAGCCCCCCAAACCAGCCTGGTTTGCCCTTCTCCTCCCCCTGACTCAGCTGTGGGTGGAAGAAGGCACTCAGGGCAGGGGCCACAGTTGCCTGGTGTGCCATGGGCAGGAGGAGTTTTCAGCCCAGGGACAGCAGGAACTCAGGAGGTGCCCAGCAGAGCCCAGCACCCCAGGCCCAGAAGTGGTGGGAAGGGTGGGCAGAGGGTTGACGTACCCCAATTGCCACGTTCAGGTCGGTCATAGTCACCTGCTTCGCACGCTCCACAGCCTGGACCACTTGCTGCTGGTGCTGCAGGGAGAGAAGAGAGGAGCTGGGGCAGGCTCATTTCTTCAGCGAATGGGGCAAAGCCAGCTCTCCAGCCTGGCCCAGAGACCAGGGCTTCCTGGGCCCCAAAGGACCTCTGCATACCTGGCTGGGGCCCAATGGCTTACCCACCTCCTGAGATAGGAACGGGATGAGCTGAGCGCAGATCACATTGAGCCGCTTGGCGATCTCTGTCTGGAAGTGGAAGAGAGGCAGTGCCCATCAGGGCAAGGGGCAGAGTATCCCCCATGCTGAGGGGCCCCAGTGCTGCAGGAGAATCCACTCCCCATGGGTGCTGCACAGGTGCCACCCAAGCCTCAGGGTACTGGCAGTCAGCCCCAAGGGCTACTGCTCAGCACCAAGGAGCAGAAACACCCTAGGGGATGTTTCTAGAGAACAACTCTCCTTCCTAACAGTACCCCTTCCAAAAAGCAGTATCCTCCATCCCCACCCTGAGAGCCCCAGGATGGCTTCCACCTCCTCTCTGCCAGGGACATAAAGCCCCATGGCCCATGCCATTGAAGGCCACCCCCAAGCAAGCCCCCAGCCCTGCAGCCAGGGCCCCAGCAGGCTCACCTCCGCCCCCCACGCAGCCTCCTGTCGGCACCACGACCGCTACCTGCCGCTCTCCTGGCCTGCAGGAAGCCCTGGAGAGGTGCTCTACTTACAGCTGCTGTTTTTCTGCAACACTTGAGTGCCACTGGCAATCAAGAGCACAGAGGGCGAGCGCAGCATGGGGAGGGAGAACGGTGCTGTGCCATGGTGTGCCATACTCCCAGGGCATCCCACTGCCAGCTTCCAGGGCCCCTGCTGGCGCCACACTGCACAGCTCGGGCGAGGGGAGAGCACAGACATTCAGCCATCCCTGGCCCCACAGACACATCCCTGGGAAGAAGCCCCAGGGGCTGCAGGGACAGGCCCCTGCCTCTGGTACGAGCAGGCAATGGCCGAGAGAGCAGACACCGCTTGAGGCACCAGCAGAGACACCCACGCAGAGCTGGGGACCCCCATCCTAGCATGGGAGTCCAGGTAAGATGCTGTCCCAAGCTCCAAGGAGCTCCCTGCCCACCCTGGTGGGGTAGATGAAAACACTACCAGGCCAACACGTGGCTGAGAGGAGGGGGTCGAATCCAGACCCCTTTATCAGCCCCTAGAGGAGACCAAAAGGTGAAGGGCCCCAACAGCCAGGGATGGAGCTGACCCCTGGATCTCCCCACCAGAACGTTGGGCACGTCTCCCATGCCCAGCTGGTGCAGGCACCGCAGTGCCAGGGTGAGGGGCTGCAGCACTGCTCGGCTGGTGTGGGGACACAGACCCAGGGACACCTTGTGCCGCCCTCCAGAGCAGCTGCCAACCCGTTCTTGCCAGACCCAGAGAATAGAATACAAATAATCTGGCACCTGCCCTCGCTTCCCCTTCTGAGGGAGGAAAAAAGAGAAAGAAAAGAAAGGAAGAGGGGGGAGCAAGGAGATTTGGCAGCCGGCAGTTCTGGGAAAGATTTAGCTGTCTCCCGAGGCCAGCAGTGATGGATTCTCTTCCCTAATGCACTGATGGGCAGCAGCTCCTTGGGGAGAGCTGCCTCCAATTCACTCGCACTCGTTAATGTGCAATTTACTGGCACTTTAACGCTCTCAGCATGAAAAACGATCACGCTGTTTGCAGCCCCCCCAGCCACCAGCACCATCACGTCCTCTCTGGCTTGTGGTGAGCAAGTCCTAGTCCAGGCAGATTCAGGGAGGCGGTTTTATAAAAAGCTACAGGCCCCTTCAACGCCAAAAACAAAGCAACAATAAAAAATTAATGTCTCACGCTCATTCCTGTCTTGATCCTCTCCTGCCAAGCCTATGGCTGCCTGGACAGCTGCACCACCACAGCCAGCCCCCAGCCCTATTTCCCTCCAAACAAACTCAGAGCAAAATCCCACGCCTCAGCCTTTGCTGATGCCAGCACTGCTGGGCGCCTGAGGAGCCCCTGGGGATGCTGGGCTGGGCACCATGGCACTACCCAGCTTCCAGCCACGGCCATGGGTGAGCGCTCCCTCGGGGATTCCGGGACAGCCAAGGGTGTTTAGGACCTGTCTGTGCCTGTGAGCAGTGCTGGATTTGGGGGAAGGGGAGGACAAATGGCGACACGATCCCACCCCCCGGCAGCGATAACCCACAGCTCCCGCACTGGCAGTTCCCGTTTCTCACACAATGGCCGCTGGCTGTCAGAGCAGACTTACGGGCCCTTGTTAAAAGTGCCGACAGCTTGCTGGCTGGCAGCCAGCGGCACCTGGGGCTGATAGAAAACACGAGCCTGCGAGGGCTGGGAGAGAACCGGCAGCCAGAGGAGAGAAGCTTGCAGCCCTCTGGGGAGGGGCACTGGGCCGGGTGGACCCTTGGCATCGTCCCTTGCCAGGGTGGCTTCAACACCTCCTCTTCAGCAGGGATGCTGGCACAGGGAGGGCACCCAGGAGCAGGAAGAACACCCTCCTGGCAGGCACAGAGCTAGCAAGAGTGGTCAACAGCCAGCCCTGAGCCACGGACGGGGGGAACACCGCTACACTGACCGCCCGAGCAGGCTCCCGTGCAACAGTTGGCATCAGCAGGCGCGGGGCGGGCAGGGAGGCGGCTGTGGCAGCAGCACGCCTCGCCAGGCTCCTCCGCAGCCTCTTTAAAAATAGATGAGACGAAATCTTCTCTCTCAGAGCAGCTGGTGACCCAGAGCTCAGTGCAAGAGAGGAAGGGAGGGAGGGAAGGCAGAAGGGAGTGATGGGGATGCAGTGAAGGAGGATGTGCAGCCCTGAGCCCCCAGGGAGCCCACTCTGCACCCACACCCCAACACACTCCTTTCTACCTCATGATGCTGCTCAGCCCTTGTCCCCAGGTGAGCTGCCCCCAGGCCAGTGGGCACCTGGCAGTTGCAAAGGTGGCAAGCCAGAACTCATGACCCTGCAGCCCCTTCACCCTGAGGAAGCCAGTCTCCTCCGTGACAGTTCCCACATGACCACTCACAGCTCACGCAAGCACAAGTCTTTCACTGCCGTTCTCTGCCCGACACAACAACAGTATCACAGTCCAGCCAGGGCACCCAGAACCCAGCGAGCGAACAGCAGCTCAGGTGCAGAGAGCTAAGGAGGCAGCCAAGGTCATGACACAGAGCAGCACAAAGCTCACAAAGCACAGAGAAGGGGACACATTTCCCACAAGCACAGCCTTCCCTAGGCTATAGCGGGAAGCAACCTCCCATGCTGTCTGTGGAAGGGATGGCCCAAAGGGCCCAGATAGCAAGGTGGGGCCAGGGAGCTAGGACCAAGGAGCTGGACAACACTCCTGATCCACCCAGACTCACCTGTTTGTGCATCTCAATGTTCAGGCCATAGGACATCTCATAGTACTGTGAGGGAGAGAAGGCAGCATCAGCACGGCTCTGGAGACCAGGGTTACTCATAACTAGAAAGTCCTCTCCAGCACTAGCACGCCAGGTCAGCCTGGCCACAAATGGCCATGGCGTGGCCAGACCAGGGCAAGAACACAGTCCCCAGCTCCTCTCCTGGGAGCAGTGGTCTCTCTGGCACATGGCTGCAGCCCACAGGATGGACACAGTCCTACCAGGGCTCCTGCTCACTGCCTGTGGGAACAGGGACAACCCAAACGGGAGCAGCTTTGCCACTGCAAGCTGCGGCAGCAAGTCCTGATCAAACACCACGGCTTGTTTTGAGGATAAACCAGACAATAACAGCCACAGGAATCAGATCTCAGGACCTGGCCACACGACCCAAAGGCGAGGGGAAAGTAAAGCATCCCAGGGCTGTGTGACCTTTGATGATGGTTCAGAGGACCCACACCACCCTCCTCCACTCAGGTGGAGCTCACTAACCATGACATAATGACGCTGGATTTCTGTTTTTTCTGTTGCCAGTTTTTCGCATTCTAACTTCAAGCTGTAAAAATAGAGAGGAGAGGAAGGGAGAGGGAACGACCCCCCTGGTCCCCCCACTGACAGGATCTCCCTGGCTGGACAGAGCATTGAGCCCTCCCAGTGCACCACATGCTTCAGCCTCCTGCTCTCAGCTTCAATCCAATCTCTCAGCACAAGCCAAGAAAACCACCTGAAAGAGGGTGGGAAAGGGCTGATAAAGATGAGATGGACAGCAAAGGGATCTGGGCATCAGGGAACAATTTGCATGGACTCTTAACCCCCTCCCCAGCATCTGCTTCCCAAATGGAGCGAGCTGCAAAGCCAAGCTGCATTTCAAACCTTGTTCTGCCCCACACGGTGTGAGGAAGGGGAGGTGATCCGGGACAGCAGTCTCAGGGATAAGAGGGACTCCAGGTCTGCTAAGTGATGGCTCTGGCTCAGTCCAGGAGCCAGGCGCTGGAGGTCAGCACCTCATCCTGGGGCTTTTGGCAGGCAAAGGCTGAGTTTCCCCCTGAGTGTCATTTTAAGCTACCAAGGTGGTGGTTGGCACAGCCATCCTCTGGATGGACCAGCGCCCACAGCCACACGGAATGGTGCTGCCTGCCCTGACGCCCAGCGCCAGTGGGAGCCCATTGCTTATCAGCACCAGTGAAGTGCCCAGCTCCTCCCTGCTGGTATGTGAACTCTGGCAGCTTCTCACCTGTGGTATTGGTTCTGCAGGAACTGGAATTCCTCCTTGATGCGGTCCAAGGTCTCTGGGTAAGTCAGTTTGAGGGACTGGGGGGTGCTGGGGATGGCACTGGCAGCAACAGCGGCTCCCGAAGCAGCAGAGGGTGCCTGGAGATGGGCCTAGGCAGAGGATGGGACCCTCAGGGTCACTGCTGCCCCCAGTGAGACTGGTGCATCCCCCCAGGGGTTTCCTGCACCCAAAGAAGAGGTCATGGGAACATCTGGGAGAGCAGCATGTGCAGGAGGCGGCAGAATGAGTTACTGGAGAGGAAATTGGTTACAGCCAGGCACCAAGGGCCTTCTGAGCATCAGCTTGGCCACTTAGCCAGCAGATTAACGACCACGGGTGGCACCAAGCACGGCGTGGACCCAGTGGCCTGTCCTTGCCCAAGTGTCACACAGCTGAGCCCACCCATCACTGTCGACCATCACGCCCTGGCAGATCCCGCTTCTCACAAAGCCCAAACCCCCAGCACTGGGACTCAGCGCTTTGGGAAGAGCCACAGCACCACTCCCGAGCATCATACAGTGTCGGCACCGAGCAAGGAGGTGGGTCTGGGGGCACAGGCCCTGCAAGGGCCGAGGTGGCACTGCTGCGAAGGGACGAGGCCGTGCGCGGGCTCACCGGGGGCCGGTTCTGCGGGAACATCCTTGGCACCGGACAGGCTCGGGATCCTCCGGCCGCGCGGGCCCCGCCTCAGGCTCGGGACGGGGCCTGGAGACGGCTCCCAGCTCCGGATCAGGCCCTGGGGAAGAAACCGAGGGTCACCGCTCGGCGCTGCCTGGAGGCGCGGGGCCCTGCGGGAGCCGCACCAGAGCGGAGCCCCGGGGCCCCGGCCCCTCCGCAGCCCCGCCGCGACCTGAGACCCCCGCACCGCGCTCCCCACATCCCCGCGGGGACCGGGGGCCCAGGGGCTCCCTCCGGGCGCCGCGGGACCCGCCCAGCCCTGGCCCCCCGCGCCGCACAGACAATGGCCCCGCCGCCGCCCGCCGCAGGTACGGCCGCGGGGCGGCACCGGCCTCGCCGCCGCCCCAGCCCCAAGCGGGGCTGGACCGCGGCCGGCGGAAACCTCTCCAGACCAGACTGGACCGGACCGTCGGGACGGGACGGGATGAGACGAGACGGGACTCACCGCGCTGCGCGTCCCAGACCCGGCCCCGGCCCCAGGCGTGCGCCCCTGCAGCGGAGCGGGGCGGGCCGGGCCGGGCCGAACCGAACCGAGCCGAGCCCGGTAGAGCCGAGCCGAGCCCGGTAGAGCCGAGCACAGCAGAGCCGAGCCGGGCCGAGCCGAGTCCAGCCGAGCGCAGCCGAGCCGAGCCGAGCCGGGCCGAGCCCCCGCCCCGCCCCGCCCCGCCCCGCCCCGCCCCGCCCGCGCGGCCGCCGCTCTGCGGAGCGCGATCAATGAACGAGCGCGAGCGCCAGCTCCACGTGGGGCCTGGCCCGTGCGGGCAATCGCCTCGGCCGCCAGCCAATAGGAGCACAGCGGGAACGGCCGCCCCACGTGGGGCGCGCGGAGCTGTCTTCCCATTGGCCAGCCGGGCCAGCCGCCGCGGAAGGTGTCAATCAGGGGAGGCCGAGCAGCCACTGAGGGGTTTAACCCGTGCGGGGCCGGGGGGTCTCGGGGCACGGCCCGACCCCTTCCCGGCCCCGCGGCGGGACCCCCGCTTCGCCACAGCAGTTGTGCCCGCACCATGGAGCCGGGAGTTCGCACTGGAGCCCCTGCGCCCGCCGCCCCGGGCAGCATCGCTCGGCTTCGGGGCTGTTGCTGATAAACATTGAATACGAGAAGTCGTCGTGTCCCGTCCCGCCCCTTCCTCCCTCCCTCCTCTTTGTTATTTTTAATTAGGAAAATAAACGAACCCGACACCACCCCCACCCCTCCCCCGGCTGCAGGTCCCGCCTCACCGGGAATTCCCTGTGATTCCCTGTGGGACAGTGGGAAGCGGCAGCATCCCTCTGCCCGACAGCGCTGGCGTGGCCTGGGAAGGGCTCCTGGGAAGGGCTCCTGGACCGGCCCTGTTCCTCAGCTCCAGCAAAGGAATCTGCCAGCACCCAGCTTCCTGCCGTCACCCCCAGCCCCGTGGGGTGCTGCTTTGAGGGTCCATCGCCCTTGGGATAGGCAGATACTTGGACTGGGAAAGAGATCCCCATGCCCCCTCCCAGTAGCCCTACACCAGCCCCCTCACCCCCACCAGCGCTGTCATCGTCCTCCCAGAGCTCTCTATGTTTCCAGCCAGCAGGCCGGGGTCCATACAACCCACTTGGGGTTTCTCATGGTTTTTCTGGTGGCTTTACTCCTTTCAGGGAGATCGATGGTTGCTCAACATTTTCTGCTGTTGCAGGTCAATCCAGGCTTACACTGAGCAGGCAATAAAACATTTGAGGAGCAGCAGCTGCGAGGTGTCTGTCCGCCTCTCCCCCTCTTTAACCTTAATCCAGGAACAGGCCAGCCCTTTCCTCCTCACCACAGCTTCATCCTTGCTCGAGGTGATGCTGTGCTGCCCTCCCTGGCTGCAGGGCCACCACCATGAGGGCACGATGGCAGCACGGCCAGGCAAGCGCTATTCCAGAACTGATGAGGAAAGAAACGAAGGTGCTGGCAGACCCCCCTGCCCTGCCACTGCCATGTCTCTCATCCTCGCTGGCAGTCACTCTATCCCATCCCTGGTACCAGGGCTCTGGCAGCACCATCCATCAGCACCAGCTGCCCACACTGTCCATCCTGGCAAAGGCAGAGCAGGAAGGGGAGAGACTTGGGTTTGACAGGGCCAAACCTGCTTTTACCTGTGGGTCATCACGTGTCCAGCAGCCAGTTCTCAGGCTGCCAACTCTCTGCTGTGACCGGGAGAGACCTGCAGTCATGGGAGGCCTGGCAGCGCAGCTCTGGTTTGATAGGAACGCTATGGCAGGAGTGCAGAAGAAAAGGACCCAGAAACACCTGACTCACCCACAGCTGTGGGTCAGGCCTGCCCCTGAGCAGGAGCCAGGGCCAGTGGGGAAGAGCTATCTAACCCGCAGGGCCAGGGCTCAGCAGCCAAGTGCTTCCCGAGAGCACATCCCTGGCAGCACCATAGCTCTGCATGGACCCTGGCAAGCAGCAGAAAACAAACTGCTGCTCGTACCCCGTGGCTGCTTCCCCGGGCTGGGCTGCCAGCTCCCGCATGCCAGTGCGGCTCGAGGGGGGCCGGGGCTCCCCGGCGGGGAGGGCTCCGGTGGTACCACCCCTGCGCCTGTTCTGCCGAGGGGCATCCCCGGTCAACGCCAAGTTCAGGTGACCAGGGCTCCGGGACGGGCACGACGATAGGCTCTTGCCTGGTGCTCTGATAAGAAAGAGGAGACATTTAACACCCTCCCCCGGGAGTGCTTTCCCCTTCGCCTTTCCTCCTGCTGTGGCTTAATTTCGTCTTTAGCCCCCTTTTTCCCTTAGTGAGATCAAAGGAATCCATGGCACCGGGCATATTTCATCGGAAACGTCGATTATAAAGGGAGTGGGGGAGGCGGCGCTGGCGGAATTAGAAGAGGAGGAGCAGGAGGAGAAAGAGGAGGAGCAGGAACAGGAGAAGGAGCAAAAGAAGGAGGGGAAGCGAGGCTGGAGGGAGCACCTGGCTTCATGCGGTGTCCTGGCAGGATGGGCCGGGCCGGGCGGCGTTGGCGACACCGGGGCTTGGGCGGCGGCGCTGCGGGGGCCGGTGGCTCCTCCGGCCGTGGCTCCAGGGCTCCGCTCGGCGGCTCCGCCGGGCTCCTACTGATCTCTGCCGCCCCGGCCGGGCCCCCGCCGCCCGGCGTGGGACGGGATGGCGCCCGCTCCCGGCCGGTGCCCCCGGGGCCAGGGCGGTTCGGGGAGCCCGGACACCGGCCTTGCTCTCCCCACCTCGGCGGGCCCCCCCAACCCCCACGGGCTGTGCCGGGCAGAGTTGCCACCTCTGGGGGTCCTGGCCCCGGCACCACTCCCCCTCCGTGACTCGCCCTGCTGAGGGGGAGGAGAGGCCTACGTGGTGTGGGCTGCGCTCGGGCAGGGGCTACCAACATCCCACCCGAGGGTGCCGCGGCCTCGGTGTCCCCCAGCGCATCCCTGAGCCGGGGCCACCTCAGGCCCCTCAGCCACAGGCGCATCTGGTGTGGCCGCCGGCCAGGGAAAGGGATGTTTAGGGGATGAGTAACATCCTTCCTGGCAGGGCCGCTGCCCGCTCCTGGAAGCTGCTGCAGACACAGAGGAGCTCAGCCCCTTTGCCCGTCTCTTGCCCCACTTAGCCGGTGAAAAAAGCAAAGAGCGGGAAGAAACCTGGGGATGGGGCCAGGGCAACCGAAGCCCATGGAATCCACAGGAGTGCCAGGAGCCAGGGAGAAGGGAGGGAGGATGCTGCGTGGCATGGTGGGAGGCAGCCAGGAGGCACAGGTTGGGGGAGGCAGCTACAGGCCCCCTCTGGAGCAGGGCTGGAAGCCAGAGCCTGGCTGAGTGCTGCCAGAAGCAGCTTATTTTGGAAAGCAGGCATCTTGGCAGAGCACTTGGTGTGTGGAGCTGCTGACGCTGGGGAACAGGACGGCCGTCTCATCAGGTCCCAGCCATGCCTCGCAGGCTAACGCTGCTTGGCTTCAGCCCTCATCTGAATCTGCCCCAGCACAACCAGGACTGGATCCCCAACTCCTGAGTCACCCATTGCAAAGGGGTTTGGACGTCCCAGTCACAAACTGTCACAATGCCCAGGGCCACAACTCTCCCTGAACACCAGAGGGACTGCCTGGGACTCACCAAGCAGGACACACAGAGTTCTCACTAGCTCTGACCCATGGGGCCAAGTAGAAGCTCAAGCCTTGAACAGAGAAAGAGAGACACATGGGCTTAATCCCACCCCTGGATGCTGCTTTCCCTCTCCTCAGCTCCCAGGAGCAGTACCAGCCCCACAGGGAGCCCAGTCCCTCCCACTGCTCAGACTGAGGGACTCGAGGCAATGGGGTCCAGCCCAGATCTGGAACAGCACTGGCAGGGTGCAGTGGCATTCAGCCATGACCAGGGCTAGCAAGGGCTGGAGGGAACCCAGACTTCACAGCCAGAAACTGGACTTGCTTTGTCTTCCTCAGTGCCCTGCTGGCACCCATGGTGCTGAGGAGCCAGCACAGGCAGCTCCCTGCCCCTGTCCTTCCAGAGCGGGGCCAGGAAGCACACCTGGAGCAGGCTGCAGTTAACAGCCCCTTGCTGTGCCTGGACATGGCTCAGGAGCTTCCACCAACTGCAGGTTATGTGTGGCTTGGCATGCCCCGAGTTTGGTCAGGTCTCAGCCCATCCCACAGCGGGACCCAGCTGTGAGCAGGCAGGCAGCCTCATCTGCCTGGGGACGGAGCAACCAAGCTCCCAACACGAAGCAGCTGGCCCTGCCCTTCAGAGCCACACACTGCAGCATTGTGGCCCAGCTGGTTTTTCCAGAGATGCATCCAAGGGGAGAAATCAGATCTCAAGGGAAGGGAGCAGGCCTGTTCCTGACTGCACAGAGGAGCTGTCGAGGCAGTGCCAGGAACTGGGGTAGTTGCTGGGCACTGCAGCAGGCCAAATGCAAACTAAGCAGGCAGCTCAAAAACCTGGGCTGTACCTCACTGCCCAACTCCAGGAGCTGCTGAGCCTTTGTAGAGCTCTGTTTGTAAACTCTGTGGCAGAGCTGCCCTGCCCTGGCACTTCCTCTAGCTTTGTTTTACACCATCAGATATTAAACAACTGACCCCGAGGGCTGGGATGGGGGAAGGACCCTGCTGGGGAGCAGGGAAGGACTTTTGGAAGGAAAGCTCTTGGAGGAAAACAGAAAAGCAATGTTGGGGAAAGGGAGTTCCCTCCACACAGGGAGGGTGTTTATGGTCAGGGCTTGTCTAGACTGGAGTCACCCACACTGCGCAAGCACATCGACACCATGCAGTCAGTATGGGGCTCCCTACTGTTCCCAACAGGACAGACAGGCTGCACTCAACAAGGGTGGGCAAGAGCCGACCCCAGGACTGGTCATCCCACTGCCAAAGGGACTGGGTAGACCCAAGGCTTCCAGGGTGCTGCTTCCCGATGTCCCCTATTGCTTCCCAACAGTCAGAGGGCCCTATGCCCACCAGCTCCCCAGCCTGGCCCTGTCACCTGTCCCCACCACAACCCTTGGACAGTGGAGGGATATGGGGCAGCTGTGCCAAGGCTCTTGGCTCCCTGCCTTCCCTCAGCTCTGGCTGCAGGAGCTGCAGGCACAAAACATCACTTTTTCCAAG